GAGTTGGTATCAAAAATAAGGTGAAAAAAGCAACTAAAATATAACCTGGATTATCCTGGCGTATAATCCGGTTTAACTGAAATGTTAAGCAAACTGCTTCAAACTCACAGTTTATAGAACATCAAAAACACATTAGGAAGAGGCAAAAACGAAATCCAAAAAACTGTCCGAAGTTGTAGCACAATGCAAGTCAAATAACAAAGTCCAAGAGGCAAAAAAGCGTTTTCCAAAATGGTCCGGAGTCAAAAGCGGTAGAGTAGAAGTCATTCACGGAATCACAAGAAGTAAACAAAAGAACACAGGAACACAGGAATCTGTAGTCCAAGGACCCAAGCTCAAGAATTGTGGCAGGAACAAAGATTCACACCCCAAAAAGACACTTTGCCTTCTGCAAAGATCTATTGAAACAATACCCACTTTTATCCCAAAGATCCCAATCAGAAGATGAGGTGCTCCCCACCCTTTCATCATCGCTCTCAACTGCCCCATCCCCTGCAGCTGAACCCATACGCCCATCCCTCCACCTCTGCCAGCGTCTGTCAAGACTTAGATCTTGCCAAGTGCTCCCCGGTTGCCATTCTTCTGTAAACCCCTTCGAAGTCATCGCTGGAGGTGGGTTGGGTACAGATATCCCTAATCTCCTGCACACGGGTCCAATCAAGCCCATCCTCCTCCCCCATGTCACTCCCAGTCCCATCACTCCCTTCAAAGCCCATGAAATCTTCGTCCTCTGTAGGAGAGTTAAGTATATCATGGATACGCTTCCTTTGAGTTTCCTCGTCAGACTCTTGTTCGTGAGTAGCTCGCTTGACTCCCCTGCTTTCCTCCCCATCCCCCATTTCACAGTCGGAGAAGCCCTCAAAGGTTTCAGAATCACTCGGGCCCATGATTATCTCTCTAATCTGCTTTCGCTGCTGCTCTTCTTCCAACACCTGCACAGCCCTCTTCTCCCTCCTACCAGTAGTAGCAACATTACTATCACGCTGAACTACAACAGTATGGTTTGCCCACTCTGGAAATGCAACATACAATTGTCCTTCTTTAGGAGTCTCTTTCAAACCTATGATACTGCATCTGTCATATACATGTGTGTGTGTGTGTGTGTGTGTGTGTGTGTGTGTGTGTGTGAATGGCTGGATGGCCCTTTGTCAGGAGGGCTTTGATTATGTTTGGGTTTGCCTGGTTTGTGGGAATTAATTCGGGGTTGTCCAGAATGTCAACTGGACAGCCCCGTTTTTATTGTGGAAGTTCTGTATTAAAGGGGCTGTCGAGATCCACCCCACTTTAAAGCAGATATTGTGGGATTTTCTGCCTTGATATTCTGGGATATAAGGCAGTGTGGCAGGGCCCTTACATATCAAATTTTCATGGATCTGCCCTCATTCTATAACTCTACTCAAATTAAAAGGTCCTGCTGAGCTTGGTGATGGCTGAAGTTGTCTGATTCCAGTGGTCAAAGCTTTGTCCATCTTTTAAAGCTAGTATGGCTCCATCTGGTTAAACATCACACTGGCAACAAAGATCCGCCTAGTCAAAGCCATGGTCTTCCCTGTAGTAACCTACGGATGTGAGAGCTGGACCCTAGGGAAGGCTGAGCGAAGGAAGATCGATGCTTTTGAGCTGTGGTGTTGGAGGAAAGTTCTGAGAGTGCCTTGGACTGCGAGAAGATCCAACCAGTCCATCCTCCAGGAAATAAAGCCCGACTGCTCACTGGAGGGAAGGATACTAGAGACAAAGTTGAAGTACTGAGGAGACAGCAAAGCCTAGAGAAGACAATTATGCTGGGGAAAGTGGAAGGCAAAAGGAAGAGGGGCCGACCAAGGGCAAGATGGATGGATGGCATCCTTGAAGTGACTGGACTGACCTTGAAGGAGCTGGGGGTGGTGACGGCCGACAGGGAGCTCTGGCGTGGGCTGGTCCATGAGGTCACGAAGAGTCGGAGACAACTGAACGAATGAACAACAACATGGCTCCATCTACACTGTTTAACTGAATTATATGAGTCTTCACTGTCATATAATAGAGTTTAATGTAGTTAAATTGTATTATATGGCAATGTAGATGGGGCCTGAGGCCCTTCCATACAGCTGAATAAAATCCCACATTATCTGCTTTGAAACGAGCTATATGGCAGTGTGGACTCAAATATTCAAGGGCCCTGAGGGCCCTTCCACATAGCTCTATATCCCAGAATATCAAGCCAGAAAATCCCACAATATCTGCTTTGAACTGGGTTATCTGAGTCCACATTGATGTGGGATTTTCTGCCTTGATATTCTAGGATATAGAGCTATGTGTAAGGGCCCTGAGTCAGTCATAACCAATGAACCATGTTTATCTATCAGTGGAATCACTCCACTGATAAACATGGTTCATTGGTTATGAGTGACTCAGGGCCCTTACACACAGCTCTATATCCCAGAATATTATGTATGTCCGTGCCTGCCTATTTCACTGTTATCACAACAGTGAAATAGGCAGGCATGGATATACACAAAATTTTTGGTTCAAAGCTCACAATATTATAGTTGTAAGGGTAATTCAATTTTCCTAATGTAGCTTGGGCACTGAAGTTCAGAGTGAGTAGGAGGCTAGAAGCATCAGTTGGGCGCTGCGTTTGGTGGTCCCTATGTAGACTTGTCCACAGCTGCATGGAATATGGTAGACTCCTGCAGAAGTGAGAGGATACCTCTTGTCCTTTGCTGAACGTAGCATTTGTTGGATTTTCTTGGTTAGCCCAAACACGAATCAAGGAACATGAAAGGCACTGCAGACTACTTCAACCAGAGAAGTCAGCCATAGCAGAGTACCTGATGAACCAACCTGGACACAGCATATTATTCAGACACAGAGAAGCCATTGAAATCCACAAGCATGTGGACAATTTCAACAGAAAGGAAGAAACCATGAAAATGAACAAAATCTGGCTACCAGTATTAAAAAAACTCAAAAATTACAACAGCAAAACAACAGAGAGTAAACAATCAGGCACATCAAATCACCTCTCAAAAAAAGATTCCCCCAGGCACTTCCAAGCCATTAAATGCTAATCAAGGTGGTCAGTTGAAACATTCACACCTAGCTCCAGCAGACAAAAGTCCTTTGTCCCACCCTGGTCATTCCACAGATATATAAACCCATTTTCCTAGTTCCAACAGACCTCACTACCTCTGAGGATGCTTGCCATAGATGCAGGCGAAACGTCAGGAGAAAATGTCTCTAGAACATGGCCATATAGCCCGGAAAAACCTACAACAACCCAGGATTATACCGTTTATTTATTTATTTATTTATTTATTTATTTATATGTTTATTTGTATCCCGCTTTACGTATAAACTCATATAATCCAGTTCAAATACTATAATATTGGATTATATGCTTTGATAATATGGATTATATGGCAGTGAAGGGGCCATAATGTCCAAATGTTTTCATGCTTTGTCTTGGAACAAACATGATAGCAGTTCGCATGTATGCTAGCTATGCTTAGCCCGTGTACAGTAATAGCCAGACACATCAACTAGTATACCCTATGCACTTCTGTGAACAAATGGGACATTGTGATTTCAGGATCCCATACTTTAGGGGCATAGAAAGAAATTTTAGAGCACTTAGAGCAGTGGTTCTCAACCTTCCTAATGCCGTGACCCCTTAATATAGTCCCTCATGTTGTGGTGACCCCCAACCATAACATTGTTTTTGTTGCTACTTCATAACAGTCATTTTATTACTGTTATAAATCATAATATAAATATCAGATATACAAGATGTATTTTCATTCACTGGACCAAACTGGGCACAACTACCCAATGCACCCACATGTAAATGCTAGTGGGGTTGGGGGAGGATTGATTTTGCAATTTGGGAGATGTAGTTGCTGGGATTTATAGTTCACCTATAATCAAAGAGCATTCTGAACTCCACCAGCGATGATTTTGAACCTAAATTGCCGCACAGAACTGCCATGACCAGTGGAAAACACTGGAAGGGTTTGGTGAGCATTGACCTTGAGTTTGGGAGTTGTAGTTCATCTATATTCAACGAGCACCTTGGACTCACGCAACGGTGGATCTGGACCAAACTTGGCACAAATACTCAAAATGCACAAATGTGAACACTGGTGGAGTCTGGAGAAAATAGACCTTGACTTTTGGGAATTGTAGTTGCTGGGATTTATAGTTCACTACAATCAAAGAACATTCTGAACTCCACCAACGATAGAATTGGCTCAAACTTCCCACACGGAATCCCCATGACCATCACAAAATACTGTTTTTTGATGGTCTTTGGCGACCCCTCCGACAACCCTTCATGACCCCCTCAGGGGTCCTGACCCCCAGGTTGAAAAACACTGACTTAGAGCTTTAATGTTCAACTTTTTACATATAAAGAGTAACCCATCCCTCCCCTCCTTTCATAAGAGCTTGAAGACCTGTTTCAACAAGCCTTTGAAAATGACCAGTTCTAACTCAGCCCTACACATTGTCAAATACGGCCTTATTCTTCCTACCAATTACCCAGATCATTTCCTCTAATCGGCCCCGGAATGAACAGCCACAGACCCGTATCTAATATTATTGTTGCCTGCTTCATTTCCGGGCCTCTTAGAATTTTTGGGCTTGCACAAATCTTGGCCCGGCCTTTTACATTTTTAAATTGCCTTGAACTAGCAGGGTTACTTTTAATATATGTGTGTTATGGTGACAATTTTTATGCTATATTTTGTTTTGTTAATCTTATGGTTATGTTGTTTTTACTTTGTATGTTTTGTGATGTTACCTGGGAACCGCTCTGAGTCCCCTCGGGGAGATGGAGTGGTATATAAATAAATTATTATTATTATTATTATTATTATTATTATTATTATTTAGATCAGTACTCTACCTGACCCCCATCCTATAACAAAAAGCATAACTTTAACAATAACCACAAACTTAGCTGGGTTTGTTTTATTCAACCAATGCACCATAAACAAAAAAATGAAGAAGGAGACCAAATAGTTTTTAAAACAAATGCCTTTATTAATATTTGTGTGTTATTTTCCACTAATAACACAGGGAAAAGAAAGGAATGATGCTAGATCGTGTATTACAGTGAAAGGACAGATCATGAAATCTTGAAGAATTGTGAAATATGAAAAGAACATGAAATATTTCATTCGTTCATTATACTGGGAGACAATGTCTGCTACAGTTGTTTTATAGGCGAAACACGATTTAGTGAGAAAATGGAAGTTACATTGCATTGCGGAGGATTTTAGGCATCATGGAGGAACCTACGAAGGACACTCAGAGCGCCTGAAACTTTTCACAAGAGGCTCAGTTAATGTTTTGTGTGTCACTTCACAAGAATACGTCTCATGGGAATTATATTCATCTCTGGAGAGTGTCAGGGTGCTGCTCAGTTTGTAGGTCTTGTCTGCTTCACTTGCTGCTGAACTGGTTTGGACATCCCCAGTGACAGCTTTGCCGTCTGCTTTCCAGACCACGTTCAGCTCACTCGGATAGAATCTAGTGACCAGGCATACCACGGTCGCTGAGTTGGTTTTAAGTTGCTCCTGAGAGGGTGGGAAAATGGATGCCAAAGGGGTGGCATCGTCTCTCTCTGTAGAAAGGAATTAAAACACAATATATGTCATAATTGGTGTCTATAGGTACAGAGAACTATGTATTCCTTCCCTACTCCATGAAAGATACCATCTTCTTGGCATTTTAAAGGAGATAACAAACAAATGTAACATCAGTGAAGTCTCACTAAGGATATTCTTCTGCTCAAGAATTAAATAACTGTAGAGTACACTAAAATTCCATGAAAATCGATGCCATGCCCTCCCACATTCATCTTTTGCTGGCAATAGATTTACGGGTTTGGAGTTCTTTATGTATGTATGCCAAATGCACAGAATCATTAATATTCTCATATGAGATTGTTGTTATTTTTTAAAGTCTTGAATTCAACTATGGTATTATTATTGTATTGAATTCAAGACTCTAAAAAATAATAACAATGTCATTCAACTATGATATTATATTATTATTATTATTATTATTATTATTATTATTATTATTGCACTCCTTAAAAGAATCCCACACCTTATGTGACTGTGGAGCAGAACAGACAACTCCGCATCTGGGTTGTTGTAGGTTTTTTCGGGCAATACGGCCATGGTCTAGAGGCATTCTCTCCTGACGTTTTGTGTGACTGCAGAACAGAACAGACAACTCCACATCTGTATGCTTGTTCACTATGCCCTGCCTCATGTACAGAGAAGAATTGTTGGAGGCTACAGACAATGCCATTGCTGTTGCCTATTTTTGGTCAAAAGATATTTAGCCGCCCATGCTCCTTCTATTTTTATCAGTTTTATATTAATTTATGCAATGCTTTTGATATGAAATAAAAATAAATATGTGAATTTGGTTGCTTAAGAATACATCTCTGAGAAAAATCAGTTGTATCTATTATGTCATATGCGGTCTTTTTCGTTATACTACAGAGACCGAGCTATGTGGCAAATGTATAACGAGGCCTATCAGTCTCTTCCTTCTACATGCCATAGGTAATCCAGATTATCAATCAAATAATCCAAATTATCTAGCTTTGAACTGGATTATATGGTAATCATACGACGATCTATATAGATCTAAGAGGTCGTTATATATCTGAACCTAGGGCTTGAGAAGGAGAAGACCAGTTTATACAACATAAGTAAAATAAATAGTTCAAAGTTTAAGCTGAGACATTACATGATTTTATTGAGCTGTGTAGAAAGGGAGCCAACAATATACGCAGTTGGCCATATAGGAAGATTCTTTCTGAGTTGGCTCATTTACCAGCTCTTCTAAATCTCGCGATTATAATCAGATCATAAACTACATTCCATCGGTCATGCATAGTTTTTCAAGTTCGCAATTATATGTAGTCTACAGTGATAACATGTGCAGACTCATCTGCCATTGTTAACGGCAAATGTAGATGGGCATGCCTAATTGAAAGGATGAGGCATTTTATTTTCGGAGTTTTCTAACAAGGGACAAGACAAAGCAGAGGCAAAAAGAAATGAACGGGACAGACAACTGATTATTGTACATAGTTAACTGGAATTATTTCAACAAAGGAATTATGCACAAAATGTTGACCCAACTCTCCATTTCCAAGCACATTGGCTACAGTCAAGCACAGGGGTGTGTGTTGAATTTGAGGGCACCAAAGTGTTCTGAAATTCGGCCAGTTACTTCGAAATACCTTCCATTGAAATGAGCTAGGTTCCAGGTATGTATGCTTGCTAATAATAATAATAATAATAATAATAATAATAATAATAATAATAATAACTTTATTTTACACAATGCTTCGCATTGTGGTGCAAACTTTTCCCCCTCACTTGTATTGCATGTGAAATGCTTTCTATACAGAATAAATGTTCCAATTATGAAATTTGATCAATAATGTCATAACATAATAGGATATCTGAAATAAAGCTCCCCCTCCATGTCTTTGCTTGAGGCAAAAATTTCTTGGAAGATTTTTTTTTAATTATAGTAAAATCTATGCTTTTTTAACTCTCTAATTTTAACATTTTGTCCCCAGTTCGCTACACTCTGAAAGCTTTTAACAGCGTCTCAGAGATGGCAACTGTCATTTGGACATGATTTTGTTAACAAAACAAAGTTAGTCTAGTTGAATTCTTTTTACAGAGAATATTCCTATCCTTGCTTGAGTTTTGAATGATAACACTATATAACACAATTTTTAGGTTATAAATGTCATTTCCTCATTGGTTCTACCATAAAAACATGGAAAAAGTTTATTAAACTGAAAAAAACTGTGTTTTTGCGGGACATTCTCCAACACATTTTGCTATAGTTTTTCACTGAATATCTCATAGTCTCAACCAATTCAATATAGCCAATTCAACAAAGCCTTCAACAACACAATTCAGTTTGTGGCAGTTCCAAAAACAAAGTTTCTGTAGTATACCAACTATTTTCAAAGTAAGTACCATACAATTAAACAGGAAACAACACTTTCAAACCAGAAACAGAAAAAAATTCAAATTTTGTTACATGGGGTAATTCACCTATCATTATCTCCCATGTTTGTTTATGTGATTTATATGATTTGTATTTTATTGATTGTTTATTGATGTTGTGTTTATTGATGTTGTGTTTGATGTATTTTGGGCTTGGCCTCGTGTAAGCTGCACCGAGTCCCTTGGGGAGATGGTAGAGGGATATAAATAAATATTATTATTATTATTATTATTATTATTATTATTATTATTATTAATGTCCACACAAAAATTTCCTATAAGATTTTCAAAAACATTTTTAAAATGACAGCTCTTTTAACTTTCTAGTCTTAACATTTTGCCTCCAGTTTGCTGCACTGTCTCAAAGTTGGCAGCTGTCAAATGGACATAAGTTAGTTAACAAAATTAAATTAGTCTATTCTTTTTACAGAGGATAGTCCCATTTTTGCCTGGGTTTCAAATGATAATCCAGCCAGCAATATCTCCTATATCTGCACAGCCCAGAACATGAGTTTGAGGCAAAAAAATGCAACATGGAAAATGTAAAGAGATAAATAAAAGACCCCCAAACTATAACGTCTTTCTTTAATGAAGAAGACCACAACAATTCCTATGTATTTCCTTTGATCAGACATTCTAGTTGCCCACTTGAATGGACCCTACAATAAGCACATTTAGATGTGTTTCATTCTAAATTCACCACAATATCTTAAAATAGACTAATTCCCCTCCCGTTGAATTAATTTATTCTTTCTCCCACTGAAATGGCTATAAAAATGGAACAAAAATGGCAATGATTAAAGATTCTGACGTTTCGTATAGAATAGAAAAGTTAACACTTACGTTTGATCTGTAGCTTGGTCGCAACACCAAAGGTGTACCACAGTGTTTTGCCATAATCCACCCACCTTACAAAAACCAATGTTCTTCCTAAATGGAGTTGTTTACTGCGATTGTAGGAAAGAATTCCTAGAGTTTGTCACAGAAATCCTAGCAACTGTCACTAAAGGTCTATGGATCTCATCACATGGAGGTCAAGAAGTTGGGGGACAGCAGGGAAAAACGTGGGGCAGCATAAGGTTTCATCCCATTATTGTCGGTGGGATCCCATCCCATCATGTGGGATCCCATCCCATCATGGGATGGGATCCCACGACGTTTCTGTGCTGTCCCCGGCTTCCTTCCGCCTCCTCCCCGGCTTCAATTTGGAGTTGATGATCAATTTTATCAATCTCACTTTAGAATACAAAGAAAAATTCTCAAATTACAATGCCATTTGCTGAACAAATACCAAATGTTCTCCATTTATCTTTTAAAGCAACTGCTGGATACTACTTATAATATTGAATTAAGAGTTTAAATCTCCAGATTCCATTTCCATAGAAAATGAAAACGTCTGTACTTGAAATAATTTTGGACACAGTTGTCTCAAAGGTAAACCCTCTTATATGTTCGTGATACAAGAATTTCGGCCAAATTCAATACTTGTTTCATTGGATTTACTCCAAAATAACTATGCAAAAGGCAGCAGTTTAAAGCTGTTTTTCTCAATACGCTGGCTCCAGTCAAGCGCACAGTTACATTTCCCTTCTCCCTGAGACAGCACACCTACTTTGGAAGACGTTCCATTAAAGTAAACTTGATTTTAAGTGTGCTTAAAGGTATCAGGGTGAAGCCGTTCCACGCTTGTGTTTTTGCCATACTTGCATACTTTTCGGGTTATATGGTCATGGTCTAGAGGCATTTTCTCCTGACATTTCGCCTGCATCTATGGCAAGCATCCTCAAAGGTAGTGAGGTCTGTTGGAAGTAGGAAAATGGGTTTATATATCTGTGGAATGACCAGGGTGGGACAAAGGACTCTTGTCTGCTGGAGCTAGGTGTGAATGTTTCAACTGACCACCTTGATTAGCATTTAATGGCTTGGCAGTGCCTGGGAGCCATTAAATGCTAATCAAGGTGGTCAGTTGAAACATTCACACCTAGCTCCAGCAGACATAAGTCCTTTGTCCCACCCTGGTCATTCCACAGATATATAAACCCATTTTCCTACTTCCAACAGACCTCACTACCTCTGAGGATGCTTGCCATAGATGAAGGCGAAATGACAGGAGAAAATGCCTCAAGACCATGGCCATATAGCCCGAAAAAACCTACAACAACCCAGTGATTCCGGCCATGAAAGCCTTCGACAATATATTAAAAGTTCTTCCTGATGTTAACATTTTTACTACCAACTGTGTAAAACTAGATGAAGGAAATTGACTAGAGGCAGAGAAGAACTTAAAAAAGATCTGTTTGAAGTGAAGTTCGTGTTTGCTGCAGTTTGCTGCATTCAACACTTTTGACAGTTTGTTGAAAGAGGAAGGCTCTTACTCAAACATAATTTAGTCTACAAGAACAAAAAGTATTTCTCTTACAAGACATTCCTGTTTTCTGGATATTAATCATACTAAAATTACTTTCCTGAAGATGTCAGAGCACTAGGGGAAAGAGGGAGGCCAATCTAACACAAATGGAATGGCAAAATACTCTTGCACCCCAACATTTCCTCATGTACCAACTTTTCCTCCCCCAAAATTGTTTTCAGGATCTATCCAGGTAAACATCACATGGCTTCAACAAATAAAAAACATGTTTCATTCTAAATCAGTAGTATGACATCCCACCTGCTTTTCATCTTGTACAATTTTTTCATTGCTTTTGCTATTTTTTTTTAAAAAAATAACAGCACCCAAATGTATCTCAGAAAAACAGGAAAATCCATACTTACGTTTCACCGTTAACTTGGTCACCGCTCCAAAAGTGAACCACAGTGCTTTCTCATGACCCACACACTATTCAAAAACCTAAGTCCCACCCTTCTGGCATTGTTGCTGAAACTGGTGAAATGCATACCTCACTGAGTGCCTTAGAGCTGTGGTTTTCAACCTGTGGGTCCCCAAGTGTTTTGGCCTACAACTCTTGGAAATCCCAGTCAGTTTACCAGCTGTTAGGATTTCTGGGAGTTGAAGGCCAAAACATCTGGGAACTCACAACTTGAGAACCACTGCCTTAGAGGTCTGTAAATCTCTAGTCATTGATACCACCACTATAACCATTCACAAGGATAGTTGTCCCACTCCAACAAGGAAAACAGCATTTATTTCCATTCTTTTTTCTTACCCTTGAATTTCATCAGCTCCTAAAAGCAATTTTCAGCATCATTTCCATGTTGCGTCACTTTCATGTCAGATTTGTATAGAAATTTTCAGCACCCCCAATCCGTTATCTGAAGGGAAGTTTACTTGCAGAATATAAAAATGATTCAAATAGACTTTGTTTATTTGTAGTTTATTTTTTGGGCAGAAGTCAGAGCGTTTGCATGCCACAGTTGATAGCAATACTCTCAAGTGTGATTTCTTACATTGATTATCGTGAAGATTAGGGCTGGGCGGTTTCGTTCGTTAATTTTGTATATCATTTTTTCCCCGTTAATTTTCCATATACGAAACGATATCAAACTTTTTTCCAAACCCGGAAGTGTATTTTCAAAATCGAAACAGCATGCGCCAAATATTTTTGTATTTCCGTCCATTTCGGAAATACGTAAGATGGCTAGATGCTTGCTGGGAGCTCCAGGAGCCAATCAGAAGAACCCACGGAGCTGATTGCCCTGTGGGTTCTCCTGATTGGGCGGGCTCAGGGGCGGCTCAACCATTACGCGAAGCAAGTAAGCCGTTGCGGAACACTTTATTTTGCCAGGGGCGCCGAGAGCGAGGGACGCGGGAAGCTATCAGAGGCCAGAGGGACCCTGCTGCTGGTGGTATCGAAGCCTGCTGCTCCTCCTCCTCCCATCCTCCTCCTTCTCCGCCTCCAGCAGCAGCAGCAGCAGCAGCAGGGTCCCTCTTCCTCCCCGCCCCCACCGAGCGGCGCAGCCTGCTGCTCTTGCCCTGGCTGCTCTTGCCCCGCCCCTGTGGATGGCCCCTTCCACTGCCGGCGCGCCCTGTCACTCCAGGCTTGACAGGGAGCCAGGGGCGGGGACAGCTCAGCTGGCCACCACCCTGCCAGTCTCCCTGGTCATGGGGCCTTCCGTTCCTCCCCCCCCCCAATCCTCCGACCCTTTCTCTTCCTCCTCCTCCTCAGGCCGCGCCGCTCGGAGATGCCGAGGGCGAGGGGGGAGGAAGAGGAGGAGGAGCGGCAGGCCCGGTTATCAGGGAGACTGGTGGGGTGGTGGCCAGCTGAGCTGTCCCTGCCCCCGGCTCCATCTCAAGCTTGGAGTGACTGGGCAGCGGCGGCAGGAAGGGGCATCCATGGGGGCGGGGCAAGAGCAGCCGGGGGCGACCTCTCCCGCCGACCTCCTCACTCCACTCCCAGCCACCCACTCCCCGTGAGTATATGGCAGTGGAGAGGGAGGTTTAGGGCCCTTCTGCACAACTACATGATCCAGAATAATACCAATGGCAGGGGGATGTACAAAAACAAAAAAACCCCCCAGAGTTGAGTTTTTTTCTTTTTCTTATTTTTTTTCATATTATCTGCTTTGAACTGGATTATCACAGGGCCCTTCCAGGCAGAACTTATATCCCAGGATCTGATCCCAGGTGTTCAGTTTATCCCAGATTAAAAATTAATAATTAAATTAAAAAATATTGAAAAAATATTGGAAAAAAAAGGGCGCCATCTTTACAAAACGTTTTGTAAATATTAACGAAATTTCGTAAATACCAAACTTTTTTTAGGGAAAATTTCGGATATATTTTTAAATACAAAACGCTGAGGCACCCTAAAAACGATTTTAGAAACAAATTTTTCCGTTGTTACCCAGGCCTAGTGAAGATGTCACATTCAGCTATTTAAAAGCTAGAGTAATTTTTCAGATTCTATAGCTGATGCCTATCTTGTCCATACATAATAGCCCTTTGATATCAAGGGCCTTTATCAATTAAAAAATAATAATAATGCTAGTAATTTATTTCTAAGAGGTTCATAGACAAACTATAGCTGGAATGTTTCAGTATTTAATTTGAACATATTATTAATTTATTTATTTAAAACATTTATATTCCACCCTTTTCACCCTGAAGGGGACTCAGGGCGGAACGCAGCATATATATGGCAAACATTCAACGCCAGGACACAAATTCTTATATACATACATAAACATTAAAAACATTTATCAAAATATTAAAATACACCATTTAAAACCGTCCTAGTCATCCACGTCAAATCTATTTTTTACCATCTTTCTAAAGGACAGGAGAGAGGGGGCTGACCTGATCTCACCAGGAAGGGAGTTCAATAGCCAGGGAGCAATCACTGAGAAGGCCCTGTCTCTTGTCCCCATCAATCACACCTGTGGCAATGGCGGGACGGAAAGCAGGGCCTCCCCAGAGGATCTTAACTGGAGTGACTTCCCTAGATCTAGACACTATGTTCCTATTGATGCAGGCCAAAATCCCATTGGCTTTTTTTGCCGCGACATCACATTGTCGGCTCATGTTTAACTTGTTGTCCACGAGGACTCCAAGATCTTTTTCACACGTACTGCTCTCGAACCAGGCATTGTCCCCCATACTGTATCTTTGCATTTCGTTTTTCCTGCCAAAGTGGAGTATCTTGCATTTGTCACTGTTGAACTTCATTTTGTTAGTCTTGGCTCATCTCTCTAATCTGTCAAGATCATTTTGAATTCTGCTCCTGTCCTCTGGAGTATTGGCTCTCCCTCCCAATTTGGTATCGTCTGCAAACTTGATGATCCTGCCTTCTAGCCCTTCATCTAAGTCATTAATAAAGATGTTGAACAGGACCGGGCCCTGCGGCACTCCACTCGTCACTTCTTTCCAGGATGAAGAGGAAGCATTGGTGAGCACCCTCTGGATTCATCCATTTAACCAATTACTGATCCACCTCACCGTAGTTTTGCCTAGCCCACATTGGACTAGTTTGTTTGCCAGAAGGTCATGAGGTACCTTGTCGAAGGCCTTACTGAAATCCAGGTACGCTACATCCACGGCATTCCCCGCATCTACCCAGCTTGTAACTCTATCGAAAGATTAAGGTATGACCATGGTTCTGTTGTCCACAATCTTGGGTTCTTCCTGGTAGGTTCTTCCTGGTTCTTCCCTTGGGTTTTTCCCATTGCCCACCCCAGTCCAAACATGGGTATTTTATAGAAAAGATATACACATTTGGAAACATGGAGAACAGAAGTGTTTGGTGGTTTTAGAATCAATGGTTTCATTGGACGCAGGCACTTATCCATGCCTGGCCATGGATTGGCTGGAAGTTTAAAGGTCCGTGAATCTTGGCTGCTGATTGGCTGAGTGATTTGACAAGAATTTTAATACACTGTCATTGGTTGAATTTGAAGCTGTTTGTTGCCTGATGTTGGTGCTTCCTTGGGTGGGCCCTGGAATGGAATTTCGGCACGACTGGGAGGTTAGGGGTGCTTGAGAGGATTAACCCTGGGGACGCATTTCCCAAGTCTGGGATAATGAGACTCCTGGGCACCCTAATGGGTCCTGGGATTTAGAGACAATAGAAGTTTAGGTGGCCTGATAGGTTCCATAGATATGACAAAGGGATGAGGAGGTGGTTAAATGGGTTTTTGGTTCCTGCTGCATTTGGAACTTTTGTGAGGCAGCAAAAACTGGCTGAGACTGATTCCTGATAATAGTGAAAGCAAAAGTATAAGGAAATGTGTAATGCTGTAATGGAAAAGCTAATTATAATGGAGTTTTATTGTCTCTGTTTGTTAGTGTTGACAGTATGGCAAGGACAGTCAAGAGTTGGTTGCATCTGATTGGTTGTTGTGTTACCATGGATACGTAGCCTTTGCAGTAGAAATGTATCCATTTTAAAGTGGCTAGCAAGGAAAAGGGGCAGCGCTAGATAAAAATAGAGTGAAACATTTTTAAAAAGTAGGGAGTCTCTAGCTAGGAGCTAGAGGGAAGGGGATCAGCATTTAAGTTTGTAGCTTCCATCATTATACTGAAGTAAAGAAAAGACTAATATAAGTCTAAATTATCAGTTAAGTGGAACTGAGAGACAGAGTTTCCTTTGGGGAATGAGATTTCAGTTAAACTAGTGACGGAAGAGTGTGACTAAAAGTCATAAGTTAGCCAGCCAGGCGGCTGAGGAGAAATATATTTTGAAGGAAAAGAAAGTGGCTTAACAGAATAGAAACAAGTTTACTGTTTGGAAAGTTATGTAATAACAATTTCATGTGTTCAAAGGAGTGAAAGACAATTGCAATGATATCTTAGTGGAACTGAAGTGAAGTACTTTGTAACAGATAAGCTTATGTGCAAAAGAATTCATAAATAAACATTTCTTTGTTTCAATATATATATGACAGTCTCGGGTCAAGTTACAGGACCAAAGTTACCCAGCTGGAAATCAGTCTGTGAGGAAAAGTTGGAAGCTACATATTGACTCCAGGTTAGGATTGCACATTGAAGAAATATACACAGACATATAAAGATTGTATCCTGTAACAAACACATATTAATAAAGGCGCCACAGAGATAGAGAAAGCGTGTTCCCACCATGAACTACAAGCCACTGAGTTTGTGATATTTGATTCCTCACTCCCCTTGTATCGCCTCATTGCCTCACGTGTACACATACATATATGTTCTATGTAGACAGAGGTGGGATATACAAGGCTTTGGTATACGGCCCGCCCTGCCTGTCTGTTGTGTCCCCTTCGTTACAAATGCTTATGCAACATGGGGCCATCCTCCCAATGAAAGGTTTCATGTAGTTTTGGGATTTGGAAGAAAAGGCATAATGGGACTGTGTGAGGCAGTTCATCCATTATACATTTTTGGGATCAGTTTTTATTTATTTATTTAATTTTATTTACAGCATTTCTACCCCACTCTTCTCAACCCCGCAGGGGGACTCAGAGCGGCTAACAATGGCAACAATTTGATGCCGCAATAATTACAATTATAAAAGCAAAATAAAATCATACAATACAATACATTACAACAACATTAGTTATCCAATCATAAAGGCATTTCCATTCTAACAACTGTCTGGTCCAATTCACTGTTCAGGTGATGTTCAGGGGCAGCTCGTCCATTACGCAAAGTAAGCGGTTGCGGTACACTTTTTTTGCCAGGAGCGCAGAGGTGCCTCTGTAAATGCCCCTCGACCGCCACTTGAGGAGCACCCCCTCGGCTCACAACAGCCCTAGTAGGGGGAACCTTGGCTTCCTTGCCTCACTGCCGGGCGATCCTCTTCCTGAAGGGACTGGGCCCTTGAGCCTCGCCTAGCCCCTCTTGTTCCTGCTCCATATCAATGATTGGTTGGGGGGGGGGCACCAAAATACTGTTGAAAATTACCTAGGGCCACCTCTGGTGACGTTATATCCATTAGCCGAAAGCCTGGTTCCACAACCATGTCTTCAGTTTTCTTCTGAAAGAAAGGAGGGAGGATGCCGATCTAATTTCACTGGGAGCAAATTCCACAGGCAGGGAGTCACCACCGAGAAGGCCCTGTCCCTCGTCCCCACCAGCCACGTATGCGAAGCTGGTGGGACCGAGAACAGGGCCTCCCCGGCAGATCTTCGACTACAAGGCGGAACGTAGAGGGAGATAGGTTCAGACAAGTAAGCTGGGCCGGAGTCGTATAGGGCTTTATAGGCCAAGACCAGCACTTTGAATTGTGCTTGGAAATGGACTGGCAGCCAGTGGAGTTGACGTAACAAGGGGGTCAGTCTGTTCTTTAGCGGGAGTCTTATACCATGAAGTTGAACTCAATGCCAACTCTCTGTAAATCATGTAAGGTAAAGGTAAAGGTTGTCCCCTGACATTAAGTCCAGTCATGTCTGACTCTGGGGTGTGGTGCTCATCTCCATTTCTAAGCCGAAGAGCCAGCGTTGTCCATAGACACCTCCAAGGTCATGTGGCCAGCATGAAATCATGTATGGGGGCATTTATCTGATAGTCAAACTGGAGATGTACTGAAACCCTTCCTCCAGATGCGTATGCAGAATGTCAGGGTGCCACATATGAGGTGCTGGGTAATTAGGGCCCACAATCAAATAATTACAAACAGTGCAAACAGTACATGGAAACTGATGAGGCACATGTATCCATCAAGGATGTGGAGTCAACTGACAGCTGTGAGGATTTTGAGCCCTGGACAGAAACTGCTATTAAGGAAAGAACCTAAGAAGTGTGAAAAAAATGTTTCTAGGAAACTTCTTTTTGTCATTTCCATCCCAGGGTACTTAGATTTTTAAGAAATGAATTTTGATGGCATTCTAGATTATTGACTAGGTTTTTGTACTGAGATGTATCACTGTGTATAGGGTAGCTGTAGTGTTGGCCACAGTAATACTCCGCTTCATCTTCAGGACGTACACCGCTGATAGTGAAGGTGAATTCAGTGCCACTGTAGCTGCCACTAAAGCGATCTGGGGTCCCTGTGAAACGGCTGGAACTATCATATAGAAGGAGCTTGGGTTTTTTTCCTGGGATAAATTGGTATAAAGCCATGTCATCACTCATGGAAGAGGATGCTTTGCAGTGAATGGTGACTCTGTCCCCAGGATTTACATGTACTGAGGCTGGTGTCTGAGTGATCACAATCTGCCCACTGGATTCTGGAAGGAGAGAAAACAATCATGTTAGTTTCCCCAGTCATTTGCCTGAGAACTGATTAAAACTTACCTTTAATCAGATTCAAGGCGAGCCAGATCAAATATATGTGTAACATTGTGATAATGCTTTTCATCCAATTATTTGTTGTTCTCCAGAAAATCTTCCCAGGCAGTCACCGTCTGATAAGACTCGCAGTGGGGACTTATGAAGTGCCAGGAATGGAAATCTATGCAAACTCAAAAGGGGGGCAGATGAGATTATATTCTATACATGTAGGAACTGTATTCTATCCTCCAACCTCTAGAAACACATGTGTGAGCATCTCAAATTGCTGAAGCATGAGGAGGAAGCTGATAAACATTCTCAGTCAAGGAGAACAATTTATCCTCACAGAGCTGATCTGTTACATCAGTGGTTCTCAACCTCCCTAATGCCGCGACCCCTTAATACAGTTCCTCATGTTGTGGTGACCCCCAACCAGCAAATTATTTTCATGACAACTGCACAACTGTAATTTACATTATGAAGCATAATGTAAATATATGATATGCAGGATGAATTTTCATTCACTGAACAAAATCTGGCACAAATACCCAATACGACCACATTTGAACACTAGTGACGTTGGGTGGGGGAAAAAAAGTCTAAATAAGGGGGGGGGGAGAAAGTTTCTGATGAAAGGGACTTCGGAGTCTCCTGCTGCTCTTGCTTACGTAGTCTTCCCTTTTTTACATCTTTGGAGATTCATTACTGGACGAATTGCTGCCAAATTTGGCCACAAGACACCTACTAACCCAYGGAGTGACCATCACAAAAAAATTGATTTTGTCATTTGGGAGTTGTAGTTGCTGGGATTTATAGTTCACCTACAATCAAAGAGCACTCCGAACTCCACCAATGATGGAATTGAACCAAACTTGGCACACAGGACTCCCATGACCAAGAGAAAATACTGGAAGGGTTTGGTGGGCCTTGACCTTGAGTTATGGAGTTGTAGTTCACCTACATCCCGAGAGCACTGTGGACTCAAACAATAATGGATCTGGACCAAATTTGGCATGACAATCAATATGCCCAAATGTGAACTCTGCTGGTGTTTGGGGGAAATAGAAATTGACATTGGGAGTTGTAGTAACTGGGATTTGTAGTTCACCTAAAATCATCATCATCATCATCATCATCATCATCATCATCATCATCATCATCATTTAATTACTTATTAATCGCCCTCCATCCGAGAATGCTCCAAGCGATTTACAGCTAAATTGTAAAAGATAAAATACATACATACAAAAATTAACAGATCAAATCAAAATCAAAGAGCATTCTGAACCCCACCAAGGTTAGAATTGGGCCAAACTTCCCACACAGAACCCCCATGACCAACAGAAAATACTATGTCTTTGGTGACCCCTCTGACACCCCCTCGCGACCCCTCCATATTTTCTGTGTCATGGGAGTTCTGTGTGCCATATTTGGTTCAATTCCATCATTGGTGGAGTTCAGAATTCTCTTTGATTGTAGGTGAACTATACATCTCAGTAACTACAACTCGCATATGTCAAGGTCTATTTTCCCCCAAGAGCGCCTCAAGAGCCCCCCTGAGCAAAATCAACTATACTGCAAATGCTTACTTTGCGTAATGGTTGAGCCGCCCCTGCCTTAAGTATATTCTATTGGTCATGGGGGTTCTTTGTGGGAAGTTTGCCCCAATTCTGTCATTGGTGGGGTTCAGAATACTCTTTGATTGTAGGTGAGCTATAAATCCCAGTAACGACAACTCCCAAATGTCAAGGTCTATTTCCCCCAAACTCCATCTGTGTTCATATTTGGGCATATGGATTATTCGTGCCAAGTTTGATCCAGATCCATTATTGTTTGAGTCCACAGTGCTCTCTGGAAGCAGGTGTACTACAACTCCCAAACACAAGGTCAATGCCCACCAAAACCCTTCTGGTGTTTTCTGCTGGTCATGGGAGTCCTGTGTGCCACATTTGGTTCAATTCCATCATTGGTGGAGTTCGGAGTGCTCTTTGATTGTAGGTGAACTATAAATCCCAGCAACTACAACTCCCAAATGACAAAATCAATTTTTTTGTGATGGTCACTCCCTGGGTTAGTAGGTGTCTTGTGGCCAAATTTGGCAGCAATTCGTCCAGTAATGAATCTCCAAAGATGTAAAAAAGGGAAGACTACGTAAGCAAGAGCAGCAGGAGACTCCAAAGTCCCTTTCATCAGAAACTTTCTCCCCCCCCCCCCCCCCTGTATTTAGACTTTTTTTCACATCAGAGGATGAGAAAATACATTAGTATATTAGTTCAAAACCTTTAACGCTTCTCTTACAGAATGGACCCAACATAGCCCTTGGGTGTTCCAGGGAGTTGGAGGTGAGTTAACATGTAATGTGAGATGTTATATTTGCTGAAGACTCAGAGACTAATATGACTATCATCTTCATATTACACACCCTTGAATGAGTTCTAGACTCCTAGGCAGTGTTGGATGAGAGCTCTCCTTACTACATGGCTAAATGCAAAGTCTGAAACAAGCACTGTATACCTCCCAACCGTGCTATACACCTGCAAGACGTGGACTATCTACAGACGTCACATGCAACTCCTAGAACAATTCTATCAGTGTTGCCTCCAAAAAATACTGCAAATCTCTTGGGAAGACAAGCGGACAAATGTCAGCGTGCTGGAAGAAGCAAAGACCACCAGCATTGAAGTGATGGTCCTCCTCCATCAATTCTACTGGACCGGCTAGGTTGTCCAGATGCCCGACCACCGTCTCCCAAAGCAGTTGCTCTACTCCGAACTCAAGAACGGAAAATGAAGTGTTGGTGGACAAGAAAAGAGATTTAAAGATGGACTCAAAGCCAACCTTAAAAACTCTGACATTGACACAAAGAACTGGGAAGCCCTTGAGCGCTCCAGTTGACGTCAGCTGTGACCAGCAGTGCTGTAGAATTTGAAGAAGTACAAATGGAGGGCAAAAGAAAGAAATGTGCCAAGAGGAAGGCATGTCAAGCCAACTCCGACTGGGACCGCCTTCCACCTGGAAACCAATGCCTTCACTACAGGAGAATAAGAAATAATAATAAACTTTATTTATACCCCTCCACCATCTGCCCGATGGGGACTCGGAGCGGCTTACATGAGGCCAAGCCCAAACAACAAATTACAATAGAATACAACCAAAAATGCAAACTGAAAACACAAACAATAAACAACAACATCATAATTACATAAAACATGTGAATGCATAACAATATAAAATTACAGAGACACAATCACAAGGACAATGGGCAGTCTACATGTAATGATTAAAAGAAAAACTGATTAAAACTAATTAAAAACTAACTAAAACTAATTAAGAAGATGCAGATCAAGAATAGGGCTTCACAGTCACCTACGGACCCACCGCCAGTACACCGATCTTGGAAGACAATCCTACTCGGACAACGAGGGATCGCCTAAGTAAGTACTATTAAATAAATATACCAAACATTCTGAGCAATGTTTGGAAATAGTACTTGTTTCCAATTGGTGACTTTTTCTATGTTATTGTTCTTGGCTGCTCAGCTGCTTCTACTACAGCTGTAGCACTCCACCTTTTGAAACAGATGCTTTTCTCTAAGACTGGGTTGGAGAAACGTGGTACCTTGAGGGGAAAACCCTGTAGGTCTTCACAACCCTCCCCACTCCTGGTGATTCATAGGCTGTTTCATAGCCTTTGCTTGCTTATTTTCTATGGCTATTACAGTGGGTGGTGCAGTGGGTTAAACCGCTGAGCTGCTGAGCAAAAGGTTGCAGTTTCGAATCCGGGGAGTGGCGTGAGCTTCCGCTGTCAGCCCCAGCTTCTGCCAACCTAGCAGTTCAAAAGCATGCAAGTGTGAGTACATCAATAGGTACCATTCCAGCAGGAAGGTAACGCTGCTCCATGCAATCATGCTGGCCACATGACCTTGGAGATGTCTATGGACAACAACAGCTCTTCGGCTTCGAAATGAAGATGAGCACCAACCCCCAGAGTCGGACACGACTGGACTTAATATCAGGGGAAAGCCTTTACCTTTATCTTTTTATTGCACTCCACTTGTGAGAGTTGCTGCTGGAGTTGTGATTGGAGAAGCATATTGCCTTTGAGCTGAAAACACTGAATTATTTGTGAGGTTTAGTATTCCCACATTTTAAAAATGTGAGACAGATTTTGTAAAGTCTGAAGGAAAGCTCAAATTCACTGCTCTGCTTACATGGAGGCCTCCAGCTCCCATAGCTGTGCCTTGTCTGTCTGATTTTAGAAGGAAATCATTATCCCAGTTTGTTCTAATGCTGCTGTCATGCACAACCAAACCCCTTAAATCAAGAGTTAAAGTGATATGACAAATAAGAATACCACAGAAATCGGGCAGTGGGCAAACTTGGGTTGGCGGGATTCTAGGCCTGCTTCTGTGTTCCAATGTGGTGAATAGCCAGGAGAAGACATGGATTATTTGAAGACTAAGCCACACTTTGGATGGTGATTATTTAGTAAAAATGGATGGTACCTAATAATAATAATAATAATAATAATAATAATAATAATAATAATAATAATACTTTATTTGTACCCCATTACCATCTCCCCAAGGGACTCAGTGCGGCTTACATGAGGCCGAGCCCAAACACAACAATACAAGCAATAATAACAACAATACAAGCAATTAAAAAGAAAAAAACATAGACAATAAAATACACAACATTATCAATAAAACAACACATAATTAAAATCAGTGGGCAGGCCAAATGTAGAGTTAAAATTGGAAATAATGCTGGGACATGAACGAAAGGTGATACTGGTGTTTGTGGAAGGGCATACAAGCAGACTTAAAGATATGTAAAGTGCTTTGGAGGACAAAGTGCTATGGGATCGTTAATCCGGGAAGGCACACTGGAACAGCCACGTCTTCAAGCTCCTCCTGACAACTGCCAGGGTTGGGGCCTGCCTGATGTCCTTAGGGAGTGAGTTCCAGAGTCGAGGGGCCACCACCAAAAAGGCCCTCTCTCTTGCCCCCACCAATCGAGCCTGCGATGCTGGTGGGATTGAGAGCAGGACCTCTCCGGATGATCGAAGGGATCATGTGGGTTCGTATACA